AAATTCCCTTTTCTCAGAAAATGTGTACATCAATGCTGAATTATCAAAATTAAATTTCTGCAATGCATAAAAAAATAATTGTTTCCTGGAGGTTAATAAAAGTTTTTGAGTCGGGCCATTTTCAGCCACTTGGTCCGGAGATGGAAGTCAAACATTTTTTAAAGATGGTCTTATGGTAAACTATAGTTAACTATTAAAGTATTTTTTGCTAGACTACTGCCCTCCTCTCCTCGTCGGACAATTTTTTTTATTCCCTGGGGACTAGCTGAATCCAAGTTGCCATCAAGCCAAGTCAATGTCTCTATATAATAAATTATATTTTTCGTCTTAGGAATGTCAATTGCCAAATGAGATATATGTCCTGTGAACAAAAAAATAGGTCGTGATATATCGTGCAGGCGAGATATGTCTTACTAGCGGAGTACAAATTGGGAAGGTGATACTTTCAAACGTCATAATATACGACAAAACGTCATAATATACGAGGGTTGTCCATAAAGATCATGGTGGATGACGATATTGTCAAATTGAATAGCCTTTGAAATATTTATAATATAAAATTGTTCTGAAAATTCAAGTCACAATAGTACGATTTTCATTGTTTGAACTGAATTCACTGTATTTTTTTTTTTTTAAAAATCGCGGTCAATAAAGGTCGCAGATAGTGAACATGGCCCGGGGTAAAAAAAAAAAAGTCATGAATTTGGAAAAAAAATTTTTGAATCAAAATGATTATTTTCTTCAGAAAACAAGTCGGAACATAATTAAGAATTAAATGAGTTGCAAATATAGCGACTGTCGTCATTTTTCTAATATCTTAAATATCGTTTATTTGACAGATCGTGAAAATATTAAGAAAAAGTTCGAAAAAAATAAGTTTCAAATATTGACAAAAAAAATTTATATTAGCCATCCGAACGGAACAGCGGCCATCATAAAATTAAGTTTTTATAGGTTTGAATCGATCTCAGAGTAAAATAGATTTTCAAGCAACTAAAAATTATTGGCATATATTTAGCTGATTGATTTGATATTTAATTAAGTGCAGATCATTTTTCTGAAATGCATCAGAATCTGTGCAGAGTTCAAAATTTACTTATCACATCAGAATGGAGGTGTGTAATGCTTTTAAAACGAAAACTCGATATTGCAATTATAAAAGATTTATTCCCCCTAAAGCTTGAAAAAATTCAACGTAGATTTCCTGATGCATTGTTTCACGGTTGTCAATCATAATTAGGCCACATCTAAAAAATCCACTGAAATCGTACAGTATCATGTCAAGCAGGCCCCAATTCATTATAAAGAAGAATCAGGTTCCAGGTCAAAGATTCGGTACGAATCATTTTCATGTGACACAGTTGCGGTAATGCCTTTAGAGTTATTCTACATTCTAATTTTGGTAAATGTTTCAAACTACCACTAAATGATAAATAAAGACTATCTATAAAGTGAATAACGACAAACGATGCCTTTAAATTAAAAAAAAAAAAATACATTTCCAGATTTTTCTGCGAAATAGAATCGACAATTGTTTGGTTTTCCGTCTCAATTTATTTTTTAATTTCTTTACATTATAGCTAAAAGCTGTTGATTATAATTACATGGAGTAAATTTCGCTTTATAAGAAATGATTTTAAGCCATAAAAAATTGACGGATTGATTGTGTGAATGTTTTTTTTTAAATAACAAGATATCATCAGGATAATTTACAGCGGTGGGAAAAGAACATATGAATGTACATTTCAGCTGCTGACTTCCGTAAATTCCTATCAGAAAGATTTTTATTCCTTGAATTAAATTAATCACGCAAATTGAAATATTTGACAAATAAAGTTTGAAAATAAGATAAAAAAATGCATATACAACTTTCTTTTTTAGGGCATCGTCTCTGTATTTGGAGGGGGTTATTTTCCTGGCGGTTTTCCAGGTATGTTTGTACTCTGATTTCTTCTACGCTTGGAATTAAAATCTTTTCAATCATGGAAAACGGCTGCAATTAATTAAAAGAATTTCAAATACTACAGTCAACCTTTCTGAAATATTAAATAAACAATTTTAGAAATTGAGAGAAATAAAACGTATGTATCAAAAGGTAATTTTATTGCATTTAATTATCAAACAAGAATAACAAATATTGAATTAGAATCTTTGAGACTTGTAAGAGTTATGAGTATAAATGTTAAAATAAGTGAAACATTAAGTTATACTGAGTGAAAAATAAAATCTTTAATACAGATCTCTTAGAAAACGGTACTATTGAGTAATGAATTGATTAAGAGAAATCTGTTTTCATGAGAACATACAGGAAAATAATGGATGTAAATATTTGGTTAGAAATGTATCAATTGATTAACTAAACATAATCTAAACAAGAGTTGTCATTTTTATAGCTAACAGGAAGGGAAGAAAAATGCTTTATAAAAATGTCGAACATTGATCTTTTTCATTGTTCATTGTACTATACAAGTCGCTTAAAAATGTAATAGAAAAGAATTCATGATTAATAACAAAAATCGAGAATATAAACAATGTTTGATATTATGGTGTCAACATCACCATAAATAAATTTTAGACAGTTTTGCCCATTGTGAAAGATGGGTTCCTGACATTATTTAAAAAAAAACAAGACCACAACGAATAAAATGTTTGTAACAAATTATTCACTTCCATTTAAATGAGTAAACTGCTCAACAATCACTTCTTGTCTTAAAATCATCAAATAGAAAAAATGGCTAAGGAAATAGACCACGACCTCGTCTTAGTTTATTCACCTCTCCCACAGGAAATTGAGTCAATTTGATGTCGTTTCGTCAAAATCAGGTCTCATGACTATAGTGTGTTACTGTTCAATTTAAAAAAAAAACGTTCCTTCAGTTTATTTTAAAGCTGTATTTTGCTTATTTTGATCACAACCACAATTGATTTGCTAGTTTTGACAATGTATAATTTTCGTTAATTAATTATACATTGTCAAAACTAGCGAATCAATTCATAGGATAGGACAGACGTAACGTTCCTCAATAATATATAATTTTTTCTAAGAATTTGTTATTGAAGTATTGCTTCTTTAACATGTTTACTCGCAAAATATTGAGGTACCTTACCAGGCATTTGTACATGATACCGGAGGATGTTGTTTCCTATAAAATCCTTTTGGAAAAATCTTAATTTGGCAATATCACATTTTTTAGTGTTTCAATTTTTTAAAGACAATTTGAAACAAGTTAGAAATCAGAAGGTAATTAAAATTTGGAAAAGCTTCCATACAATACGAAGATATACAAAATAGATATTTGAGGAACGTATCATCTGACCTTAATTACAACCATATTTGAGACCACAGTCGTGGCAATATACGAAGCTATGCTTGTTATTCTATGGCATGTCAAACGTTGCAATATTCGATCTTTTCCATTTGTATTGTATAATTTTCCATTTATATTCTATAATTCTCCATTTATATTCTATAATTTTCCATTTGTATTGTATAATGTTTATTTGTATTCTAAAATTTTCCATTTGTATTCTATAATTTTTCATTTGTATTGTAAAATTTTTATTTGTATTCTATAATATTTCATTTGTATTGTATATTTTTTCATTTGTATTGTATAATTTTTATTTGCATTGTATAACTTTCCATTTGTATTCAATAATTTTTCATTTATGTTGTATAATTTATCATTTGTATTGTATAATTTTTATTTGTATTCTATAATGTTCCATTTGTATTGTATAATTTTCCATTTGTATTGTATAAATTTCCATTTGTATTCTATAATTTTACAATACAAATGAGAAATTATACAATACAAATGGAAAATTATACAATACAAATGGAGAATTATACAATACAAATAAAAATTATACAATACAAATGAAAAATTAAAGAATACAAATTGAAAATTATACAATACAAATAAAAATTATACAATACAAATAAAAAATTATACAATACAAATAAAAAATTATACAATACAAATGAAGAATTATTGAATACAAATGAAAAATATAGAATACAAATAAAAATTTTACAATGCAAATGAAAAATTATAGAATACAAATGAAAAATTATACAATACAAATGAAAAATTATAGAATACAAATGGAAACTTTTACAATACAAATGGAAAGTTATACAATACAAATAGAAAATTATACAATACAAATGGAAAAGATCGAATATTGCAACATTTGACATGCCATATTATTCACATTTTTTTTTCTTTTCCTATGTTTTTTTTCGTAGAACTCAAACTGGAATAAATCATCCTAACTACATGTATGTTATTATTCAAAAATTTAAATACTGTAACTTCGTATTTTTTTTTTGTTACACACGAATTTTTCGCTTCTACCAAACTTTGCTATCGCCTTTTACTTATGATAAAAAAGGGCGATTAAACTTCTTGAGTTTTGCAAATCAATGTAACTGAATCCCTCCCAACTTTGATTCTTCTGATAATAATTGAAACCATAGGGCACCGATTTACGAAAGACCTTAAGACCAAAACCAAAATGTGAATTTGGGAATAACATTTTGCTTTAGATTAATCTGGATTGTTTTTATCTTTTTAAAAAGAATTTTCTAAAAGTATATTTTATTTTTTGCATGCAATTTTCAATGTTTTCATTTATGTTGCGACATCTAAAGTTTCTTGTCTAATAGTGAATTCTTTTTTAATTTTTTTTTAAAAACTGGACCCTGAAGTTTATCCTACATGTACGCTGTCCAATGTGTTTAAATTCTCAGTTCCTAATCAATTTTTAATTACTACCATATCACATTAAAGGCCTTTTCAACTAAAGTTTAATGCATTTTCACTTTTAAAGTGCTTATTCCGCAACTTGCATGATTACTCACATGGCTGGAAACTTCAATCAATTTTTCCACCTGGTTTAATATGTAACAAGGGCACGAATGCGTAACACCTGTTTAAAAGAGATTTGTTTCCATTAGCAATTTACACTAGTTAACTCCTCCCTGAACCCGCGACATGTTTCTGTACAAAGTAGTGTTGATTTTAACTTTCTTGATTCAATGTAGAGCAATTCACCTAAGGAAAGGTTCATATAACGGTAAGCTTAGTTATGCATAAGTTATACATGTTCAAACAATTTATACATTAGTGAACGAGATGTTTTCATTCTTACAGAAACTCTTTAATTATATCACTTTCATCAAACATTTTATGCTAGGACATCCTTGCTAAAACAAGAAAATTAGTGTAGCTTTTTCAATATTTAATTTAGATTTTTGTTATATTAGGTGTACAATACCCTAAACAATATGCTAAAAACAACTTCTGTGCTGGCGGTAGGCCAGTGACATTCCGATTTCGTTATGGAGCGTCCATTCCAAATTGTGATCCGCCACTGGGGCCTATCAAGGGTTGTGAGATGATAAGTAAGTACAAGCAGCAGCATTAGGTAATATTTAATCTAAAATAAAAGTAATGAAATTCAAATAAAAAATTATATAACGGATAATATTGATTTATTTTCAGGGGGTGGGGGGATGAGGGGGGTGTAATATTTTCTATTTCATACGTATAAGTGTAAATTTCTTATGTCTTGAATATTATCAATATACCAAACGAGGGTAAAATACTTAAAGATGAAGTGTTTGGGACTTCCAAATCACTTTGACATATATCCACGGTATTCGAGATTTCAAAACAAGTGTACTTTTATTATTTTTAATTTAATGTTATTAATTTCTCTGTTCTTAGATATAAATATCTATACCTCACGTCCTTACCACTGTCCAAACAAGGGATATGTCAGTGGATACTCAGCAGTTCCTATGGATATACACGGAAGTGTTATGGTAAAATGTTGTAAAGGTAACATTTGTTATCCTATATTCAAACTATACATCAAAGATTGAACTTAAAATTTCACCTTCCCAAAATCTGAAATATGGACTGAATAGTGCTTAAGCACAATAGGAATAAGCCGTTGTGCATGTACTTTATGCACTATCCAAATTATCAATTACGTTTCCAAATGTTATTACATGTGTAATTGAAATTTTCTTAATGATCAAACTTCTGAGAGTATATGATATGAGAAAATTTAAAAATCCAACATTTTTTTTAATAAATAATTATTCAATATTTAATGAAATTTTTAAAACACGTCCCTTACCTTGTGCTGTTATATGGGAATGGTTTTACTTAAACTTAGATACATATATTTCCAATGTTCATATTCCTTGTTTTATCAGACTAACGCATTACAGGTGTTGACATATAGGTGCGAGAATCTAATTAAAACAATATAAATGCTGTACAAGTATTTTTTTCCGGCTGGAATTAATGAACGCTATTCACAGGGTCACATATTTTCCGCAGAACTTTGTCCCAGCGTACAAAAAACGAAATAAGATAAACATTTATGGTGATCCAAGAAATATGCGTACTTGTAATTTTCTATTCGCCAACAGAACAGAATGGGTAATCCTGTGAAATTTAGGACCAAAAATATAATGTCATAAGAATGATTGAATATGAATTTAAAATTCATTTCTGTTGCTATTTTGTAGATTCTTTAAAGCTTATGAAAAAAAATTGAATATATCAATGAAGTATATGTAATTTGTTTGTTTGCATTTTTAACGTTCCAAGGAGAATCCTTCCGTCATATTGAAAAGCCACCTTCTGTAGGTTGATGGCTGTAAATTTAGACCTATACTCGGCACTCAGGGCCATTGAGCAGCGTGAGATCTTTTTCGTGCTAGCATCTACAACAAAGCTTGGTTTTTACGGTCTCATCCGAAAGACTAGTCTCCACATGATGATCAACTTCTTACTCCGCGATTCTAGAGCAAACGCTCTTGCCACTTAAAAGATCCAATAATTATGAAATGTATACACTATATATGTATAAATGTCTCTAAGATAATATAAAGAGTAAATGAGTTTTTACTTCCTTATAACCATAATTTAAATTACAGCTCCTTCTGTATAACTTCTACTTTACTTATATTAATATAATTTTTGCATACTTATGGATATATCCATAACATATACAACGGTAAATCTTTTTCTGCGTGTTAAATGCCCTTCGCCTTCTCTTGCAGCGCTAGGTGTCACATATAATGAGAAAGAATGCGTTCAGTATTTTCGGGAGGAGGATCCAAAACACCCGTCTCCAACTAAGCCTGGATATTATCTAGTTGGATCCACTCCTTTATTTCTTCCTAAAGGGCAAGTATTTTACTTTTTTTTTTATTTTACGCAATAATAAGTGTCTTACCGAACTGACCAAAATTTTTACATGGCAACACTGGCCATTTACTATGTAGCACACACAAAATATGTTTATTATATAAAAGTTGAAGCAGTGCATGCAAGTACTATTTTAAAAATTCAAATTTTCAACAACAGAAAACTTCTTTTTGTTTCCATGCCAGCAGAATCATTTTTGATTTCTTTTTCACTGATGCATCCACAACATTTTCTGAATATCATTACTGTAAAGTTTTATTTAAATTGCCAAAGCCATCTGATAGAACTCCGTCATGTGAACTAAAACAGATGGGACATAACAAAATGTCTCTTAAACTATAAAAAATATACAAAATATCTAATGTCTAAATTCAATCCCAACTTTTTTTTAAATTTGTAAATAATTTCCACCATATTTTAACATATATTTGTAAGATAATGAGAATGCCAGTCTTGTAATATTATTAAGTAAAAAGGATTGCGATTACATGCAATAAAAACATGATTTTCTTTGCAAAACTTTAATTTTATTAATATTTCATTCATGCATATTTTCTAACAACGTTTCGTCTTCTCTACAAAAGAAAATTTGAATATATGATTGCTGAAGGAAGGAGATGAATGTAAATAAATGCCTGAACACTTATATAATATATATTTTCTCATAAGTTACATGTATGTATAATATTATAATATATACGTGTAACGTATGAGAAAATAAATAGATTTAATAAAGTATGAAATAGAATAAATAAATAAATGTAGATGAATGTTTTTATCTTTTATCACAATATATCTATACCCAAAATATCCCTCTCTCTCACACACATGATGTTAATTTGAAAAATAAATTCAACCTTATTTTTTTCTTTTTTCCAGAAAAGTTGGTTTTTACAACAAAGAATGTAGATTCCGCAGAAGCAAGGGCTTCCATTTTTTAGCTTATTAAATTGAAGTTAACAAAGTTTACGATTTGTTTTTTGGTTTTATTTTTACGCTATGTGCTAGTAAAGATAATAATAAATGTAATATAAAAAAAATTGGTGATAAACCATACCAACCCTATTATATGAGTATAATTATAAACTCGATAGAAAACTTCTTCAGCGACTCTTGATTAGTGACATACATGTATCATGATAAAAATATGATCAAATGTAATTTTTTTTAAACAATAGAACTTCGATAAATTATGCCGATTTTTACAAATATCGCAATAATAATGAATATTGATAAGTAACAATCACTTGATCATTCATTTATAAATAAAGTGTACAGCATTTCTGCATATGAGTTTCTTGAAAATTAAAAAAAATATGGATCCAGAGTTTGAGAAAACCAGTTACTAACATGTGTACTGATAATAGAGCATTTATAACTTATATTTAAAGTTAATACATATTTTTTTTTATCAAGTATCTGACTTAAAATTTACCGTTGTCACGTAAAAGGTTCATTTGCAATTATGTCTGCAATGTTCATGAGGCTGAAGCTTGACTTCTTAGATGCAGTGTAAAGGATGCACGAGTGTAAAGGCACAATATGGTGTATCTTCGTAATGCAACACTCCTTTAACTTCATTTTAAGAATTTTCAAGTAGAAATACTTGTAATGCGCGCTTACAGACATTTTCCGGAAGCCATGGCATTAATTACGGAAGGATTCGAGTTTTAATCATGATGAACTGGTACAACTCTCGTAAATATTGTAAAACAAGCAATTTAAAGTTTCATTTTCAATGCACTTTTGACTAGTAACGGGATAAAATTAACCAAACTTTAAATTGTCGACTAGGCAAAATTGAAAATTACTAATTTTTATATGCAATGTTTGATTTTTTTTCTTCCAAATGGCTGAAAATTACAAAATCTGGACCTTCTTCCTGCTCCATTACGTTTAATGTATTATTGGCCTCCTCAATGGCTTACAACTTGTATGAAACATGTCAAACATAATTCCACCTTTCAATACATTAATAGACAAAAACGTTATATGCAAATGAAATATTGCTTTGGGATAATGGGAAGTTGACAATGGATAAGCTGAAGTTATTTATATATTTAATTGTTAGTTTTCTATTAATGTCTGTATTCTGTAAAATGTTAAAAAGTGTTAGATAATATATATTAAAGATGGGTTTTGACAACCAAAATAAAAACAATACTAGCTCTGCTATTTTCCGACTACAAAGTATAATAAATATTAACACAACAGCATAAGGTTTATGTTTAATATCGCACTACTAAATATTACAATGCCTCAGAGTTGCATATTAAATGTGCTGCCAGTACTTTCCAAAATAATACCAACATACCAAAATAAAGCTAAACTGTTTTTCTAAGCATAAAAATTAGCAACAATGGCAAAAATTACAACATTCAATACCAACTATTCATTATTCGATTTGAAAAATGGTAAAAGAAGTAATATTACGGAAATGTTCTGGTAGAAAATTCTAGAGTTTTGCATATTTTTATCACAATCCTCTAAATACACAAATACAGATGTTTTACCAAAATCAATATCAACAACAAAGTTTTTTTATGATAAAAATCAGATAAACAAAGTGCATAGTTATGATGAAAAAGTGTGCTTCTTACAAAAAAATGTTAAAACTTGTGGTCGCAGGGTTAAGGGTTCTGGTGTTTCTTGGGAGGGGGAGGGTTCTATTGGAAATTTTATTGAACATATGTTAATTCTTTGAAAATCTTCAACTAAATTCATAGTTATGATGATGAGGGTACCTCTTCATAATTTGTGAGTTTCATGACCCTGGGTCACGGGTTCTGGTGGTAGGGTAAAGCTGTGTTGAAACTTATTGAAAATGCATTATTTCTTTTAAAACCCTCTCTGCTTCTGGGCATATCGGAGGCAACAGAGTAAAGTTTTAATAAGCAAGGATATCTTTACCAGATTTTTGAACATCTGGACCATTTGATCAAGTGTTTTGTCTTGGGCATATCTCTATTAATTTGTATTCTATGAGAGAAATTCTTCCCCTTTGCCAATCACTTTTGATAATTAATTACCGTAAATAATGTATTTGAAAGGTTAACACAATAAAAGAATTATGCGAGAATTTTTATTGTATAATAAAGAAAGTACTTTCATACTTTTAATGATCATTTAGACTTGTAAATAATAGATAAATAAAAATGAGACGAAAGAAAATTATCTTACTGAATGTTCTTCGAAGACCAACAGAGGCCAGTGTGAGAGGTTATATTATGAGGTTAATAAACAGTACAGAAGCACGTAGTTTTTTGATAATCTGCAAGTTATAATGATAAATATGGATAGATTAGAGCTTAATGCTCTTAAAGCCCTTGAGCCTTTTGTATACAAGAGTAGAATCATTCAGGCTTTCATTGGAGTCTCACAATTAGAGCCTCTGAGAACTGCAACAGATATTTTTGGAGGATCTGGTCTCCAAAGACTGCTTATTGTCAATATGGAACTCTAGAATCGTTTTATTGTTATCTTAAAAGTAACTTTAAGTGCACTGTCAAAAGGATTTTGAATAACCTAACGTTGTAAATGATGTCACAAGATTTGAAATTTCCAAGTTTCAATTTAATCAAAAAACTAGTTTATAGCTATGATGTCAAAAAAAAAAGACTTCGGTTTAATTCCTTGTGAGGAATGGTTGCGTAAAGTGTAGAAAACTTGTACGTTGATAGTGGACGTTATATATATAATTTTTATTCAGTTTCATAAAAATGAGTTTATTATTTTACCGAAGAGATGTACGTATACTCATTTTCATTTGCCTGTTAAGGTTTCAATTCCTCATACTGATTATTCTCATCCCTAATACATGTAATATTCTGATTATACATTGGTAATACAGCAATGTTCTCGCCGTGTATTTCTTTATATCTCTCATTATCAACACTTGTTTTTTTGTCGAGAGGAGCTTCATGTCTTTCATATGCATCCATAGCATCGTCATGGGTTCCTTCATTCATTTTAGTTGATGTTATCACATCACGTGACGCTGGTGTTGGGTGTCCTGGAGACACAGGTATTTCTTTACAAACAAACATACAAACTAACTTAATTAATCTTTTGAGAAAGGTTGGAAAAAGTATGCCATTAATACATTTACAATACAAATTATATATCATAAATCACTCACCTGCACGATGCAAAAACTTGTAAACACCAATAGCAGTCATGACTAGAAGCAATAAGCTACCAAGGACACCAACAGTTATCAATATGTTTATCTGAGACTCTGAGTTCTCTATCTGTATTGTCTGTACTGTGAACAGAAATTGTTCTTTTTAAGTAAACATTAATTTAATGTATTCAATGCATTAAGAGAGTGGTATTTTTTTCTTTGTCATAACACTATTGAATTGTTGCAAGACTGAAATCGTCAACCTTTTTCTACTGTTTTCAATGGATTTCTCAAACTGAAAACCAATTTATTTCATAAAATAACAAACCTGATATTTGTATGGTTATTAGTTCAAACTCATCTCCAAAAAGAGTATATTTTCCCAGAAAACTTTCATTATACACAGGTATTGTACTGGATACCCAGTGCTGGTAAATGTCATTTCTTTGATTAATTTTTGTCAGAATCCCATAGTTAGAAAACGCTGAGTACCACGTAAGCAACTTTGGTATAGGGTAGGAGATAATTGGTACGTTTATTGATACTACTGCGGGTATATTGGGAATAAGATAGATCAGTTTTATTTCCATCCGATCGTCGAGGCGGGGATTACCTTTAGAAAAGAAAATTATAAATCAGCATAACTAAACTCTTAAGATTGATAAAACCATCATAAATAGAAATATAATTTCAAATTAACTTACACATAACAGTGAAGCCAAGTGTTTTCGATTTAGCAGGAAATGCATCTGAACTCCCTTCACATCTGTACGTGTTCGAGTCAGAACACTGGGCTTTTTTAACGAACGTATAGTTTAACCAATTTCCAAAACTTCTTATAACCTGCTTCCAAGAACCTTTGCTGAATATTATTGTGGGGCTGGGGTTTCCCTCTACGTAACATGATAACTCGAGAGTTGAATTTTCTTGTACATTTGACATGTTTTTTGCAATACCATTTATACACAATTTGGGTTGAGTTAAATCTGTAGAATAGAACATATGTCTTAAAGACTATAAAATGCCTTATACAGTGGAACAGTTTTAAAAGACAATATTTACATATGCAAATATTTTTCTTCGATGAACCTATTGAAGAGAAAATATGTTCAATTCTGTGTGAAACTAACAGGGGATCAGAGGTCATAATCATAGGCAATCCCCAGCTTAATTGTTAAAAAATATATATCTACTATACTATAAACATTAGTATATTTATGTTTATAGTAGATATTTATTTTTAAACAATTAAGCTGGGGAGTGCCTATGGTCATAATAAGACCGAATCACACGGCGAGATGATATCTTGAGTATATATTTCAGTCTCAGTGAAACTGCTTTCGAATTTTCTAACTCGATAGAGATGAAAAAATAATGATACATTTCGATGTTTTTCATTCAACAGATGTTCATTAGATCTTCCTTCGGTGTGAAGAATGTTTTGAATAACACAATTAACCTAAAATCGCGCTTACTTTTCTAACCCAAAATTCCTTGGAAGGTATGTAAACTGAAATAGACGATTTCACCGCTTTTGAGTTAACTCGTAAAATAGTAAGATAATTCTTAGTAGCTATGATTGCTCTTTCATTATAAACAGAGATTTCCTGAACAGGACTGCTGAACATCCATGTAAATGCTCGCGTAAAAGCGAGTCGAACTTTCAAGACCAAACACACAAGCACTTGTTTCGTATACGGGACACCCTACTTATTTTTACCACAAGGTACCTAACTCAATTTCAGGCACCCCCGCTTCGAGCTCGTAGTTTGTTCATATATCAATCATGAACCTACTTTAAAATCATATCTTTCGCTTCGAGAGACATTTTTCTTGTCAAATAAATCCTTTCAGACGTCTCTGGTTGAGCCTCTTTATTGTAAACCACTCAATTATTCCTCGAAAATTACCTCGATACATTTTAAAACTTTAGATGGGATACAACTTCCGGTTGGCCGGTTGGGGGTAGGATAAAACCAGAGACTTCCGAGTTTTCCATTCCGAGGTCTCTGGTTTTATCCTTCATTTATAACCCCAACCGGAAATTTGCAGTTCTATTCGGAATATTCGTCTCAAATGTAAATATAATTAATAAACAGCAATGTTAAAAAGTTCACTGGGAAATGAACTTGGTTGTTACGTGATCAAATCTACTGAGAAGACCTTCGGGCTTCACAGGATTTGATCACGTGACCAACCAAGTTCATTTCCCAGTGATGAACTTTTAAACATTGTTGTTTATTTCTTAATTAGACTTACCACATTCTCACAGATAATTAATAGCATTATTCATTCAGAGCAGGTAGAACGCCCGCCCCGTGATCGGAAGGTCGTGCTTTCGAATCACGGCCGCTACTGACGTGAGTCGATAAAAAATAGGTAGCAACTGTTCCTTCGCCAAGCACTCGGCACCTTGAAGTGAAAGTTGCTTGTCTTTCGGATGAAACCTTAAAAACCGAGGCCCCGTGTCACGGTAGGCGTTGGCACGATACAGAACCGCCACTGCTCAATGGCCAGGAGTGCCGAGTAAAGGTCTACGTTTGAAGCCCTTCACCTATGGTGACGTCTCTATATGAGTGAAAAAGTTCTCGAACTGGACGTAAAACTACATACAATCAATAAATCAATCATTCAGAGCACAAGGTACAAGAAGCATTATCTGGAGAAGTGTATTTTACTTTCACATATATTGTTTATTATTTTATTATTTCCAAAATCAATAAAATCCTTAAAATATTTAATTTTCCTCCCTATTCTCCGTCGTCGTTCAATGAAAAGAAAACATGGCGTAGATTAAACATGAAAGGTTATCAAAAACTTAAAAATCTATCTGTGACCCAACACAACATCATGATTTTATACATTTATTACATGATCGTGAGGGAAATATGAGGATTTATTCGGCAAAGAAAAATTATATTCCCCGAGGGCTTCGCCCGAGGGGAATATGATATTTCTTCGTTGAATAAACATAAACATAAACTTTCAAATTCAACACCGCTCTTAATATCACTTTCAATTTTAATGTAGTGTCACTGAAACAATTTACAGAAGTCCATCAGCAATTTTGTGACGTGAACCAGACTATTGTGACCTCTACTACTCTCGGGAGTTTTCGTTAACGAACATGAACGATAACTATTGCGGGAAAATGCACTGACTACGTCTCCGAAGAGGTTGAATATGATTAAAAGCATGACGAAGACGGGGAAATATGAATTTTTATGGCCCTGCCACGTGATAATCTAGAACCAATCAGATAACGCGTTGTATAGAATAATTATAATGAGGTATAATAATAATACTTATGCCATCTTTGTTAATCTATTGTTACTAGTGTATTTTTTCCGGTCTTTACAATGCCCCAAATAATGTTGTAACTACCTGTAACTTAATCTTATCACGTGATCATTGTTTATCTCCAGACCATGCATTTTGATGGAGATAAATTTTTGACCCACCTCCTCCCCTGCAACCTCTCCATGCTATAGTCAGTTGTAAACATTTTAGCATTGTTAAATTACATTCATCATGTTTATAATATTTACATACTTATTTGTCATGTTGCGTTTCACACGCTATAAAGGTTGGCGTGCATAATATTTATAAGAATGGCATCCAAACAAATAAATGATGAAATTCCGATTTTCATCTGAATTAAAACTGATATCAGTAAATAAAATATAATGAAATCAATGCAGTTGTTTAATAACTTACATTGTATGTCAAGTTTTATTGATTTACTTTTATTTTTAAAGGCACTTCCGTACGCCACACACAGAAATAGGGTCGCATTTCCTCTATAAACTCGTTGCCCTGGAATTGTCGCCAAAGTATATTCCAAAGAAGAAGCATTAGCAAAATAGCTGAAATTGCCATACGATCTTTTGACCATCCACTGAACCCTGCACGGTGGATTGCAGTCAACAGTACAATTATACGGACCAAATGTAGCTCCATCATGAAGATATATCTCACCAGAAGGCACTGCTGGTGAAATGTTTATATCTTCTGGACCATCTAAAAATGAATCAAGATTGATAAGTTGATTTTTATTGTTAGACGCCGAATTGGCAATAGTTCAGCCATATTACCACGGTAATAGAAATAAGAAAACACATAACCTTGGGAGGTTAGTTATGAATATTGTGCATCAACTTGAATAATTATTTTACGTGTTGCCTTGTAGAGAATAAACATTCATTTGTTATGGAAATGCACATGTAAATTTTACTTACATAGTATATCAATCACTATTTCTTTACTTCGAGCAGACTCGAGTGTTTCCTTTGCTCTACAGGAAATAACGCTCTGTTCATAATTTTTTGTGGCAAGAAAAGTGTATGTTTCAGTTGTATATCCAATCATCTCAGTGTTGTCGATGTACCAAGTGTATGATAGAGGTGGAAATTTTTTATAATAGCCAGGTGTGGAAGTTGATTTGCTATGGCATGTAAACGAAGCATTGTTTCCTTTTTTTACCTGCATATCTCCTGTAATTACAGGTACTGTTGGCTTTCCTAGAAAAAATACATGCATTATTGAGGTTATCTGTTAGAGAGAGAGAGAGAAAGAGAGAGAGCAAGTCTTATCAGCTGTGCATTGTCGTTTTAAGAACCATGAAAGAAGTCCATAACTAGCAACCCGAGTAAACTTTTCACAGGCAAACACTAAGAGGAGAGGTCCTGGAATTTTGATCAGAAAAATAGTTTTATTTTATGAACTCAGTGTCTGAAAGTACGTACATTTCCTGCAGGGATCAAAAGTCATAATTAAACTAGGTTGCTTTATTGAAAATATACAGATATGATTAAAAAATAAACTTTAAAAGTTTTTGGATCCTTCTTACAACTTGATGCATCCATGCTCAGTGTTTACCTTGAACTAAAAGAACCACAGCCTGCGTTGAAGATGATTGGGCCTCGATCGTACCTCCAAAGTAATATCCACAGTCCTTTCTTGAAATGTTTTTCACCTCAAATTGTATATTTAGAGAGTTAAATGGACGGCTGTGGTAAATATACTTATAAGAATTTCTTAAAGGTCTTCTTTCGTTGAATATCATCATTATAGTTTCAACTTCACCGTAATAAGAATGATAAATTTCGTACCATCCCGCTGAAGGAAAGTGCGAAATTGTCCATGATATATTTGTTGCATCACCCACCTCGGCTTGAAAAAGGGTAACTGTTTGAAAACAGATAAAACATTTAAGTAAAAAAAGACTGAGTGAGAAAGACACATACATTTTACAGAACAATCTCATACATGTATTCCAGTACCAGGCATGGTCACTAGTACCATGAAAATGTTATTTACTTTTCACACATGATTTTCTTTGGAAATGAAGCAAAGTACAACATTTAAAGTAAAACAGTGTTTTTATAATCATTGACAAAAATGCTTGCTAAAGCATATAATGTCTTTTAATCAGACAGAAATAGATATCTTTTAATCCCATTGATTACAACGTTATATCAATTTTATGTTATTGTCCTTTTCTTATCTTTCTGAACAATATTCGTTTTATATATATATATATATATATATATATATATATATATATATATATATATATATATATATATATATATATATATATATATATATATATATATATATATATATATAAGGAAAGCCAATTATGAAAAGTAATAAACATACTTATGAACACGTCTGGTACTGCACAGTGTGTTTGTGTGTGTGGGTGTGGGTGTGGGTATATGGGTGAGGGTATGTATTTAGGTGAGGGTGTGTGTAAATAAGGGTGTGTATGTATGTGTGATATGGTTGACGGGTGGATGGATGTATACACATGTGAGAAATTTACTCGTACCGTTGAATGTACGGTTGTAGTTTTCAATCCTGGTTTTCATGGACGAATTACCGAGTTTTCTTAAGTTAATTGTTACAGATGTATAATTAAGCACGTCCTCCACAGCAAAAGTGTCGCCTACAACTCGTGTCCACTTAGTTCGTGTTGTGTCCTTTCTAAGATTTACAAAATGGTCCATGCCTGGAGTGGTTTTCAATGAGAAAATCAAGCTGCCATTAACAAACTGTGTCCCTCGAATTTGTCCTGCAAATACATTGACAAGTATATTCATGTGTTCATTGACATATTGATTACAGTACGAGTATGAGACACACAACTTATTAATCACATAAAATGATTCCATCTCCGATACATTTTGCACATGTTTGTCAGATCAGTGTTTTCAAAAGTCTGGTGTTATCTTCCACAGACTTCATAATATTTATAAAATTATGACGCCAGTTAAAAGAATGGGGTTCCCTAGATGTTGGTCCTCTCAAAATAAGAGATTTAATGTCCTCATTATTAACAATGTTTACATCACCAGTAATGATGTGTCAAGCAGGACTATAGGTGTAGGATGAAGAAGAACATGAACACATAGGAGAATTATGTATCAGATGTTCGATATCTAGGCATTGTAGAGCTTTTTTTGTAATTAAAGAGTTTGGAAGCAATAGTCGATGTATATTTATAAAAAATACAAGGTGTGGACTTCAACTTGAAATATGGTGGAATACAAGACTGGACCCTTTTGTGATTAAGAGTATTACTAATATTAACTGCGTCGATTTCTTTATTTGCAAATTGAAGTTTAAGGAACAAACGGATTGCCCCCCCCCCCCAAAAAAAAAACTTTGTTGGACTTTTTATTTGTAATAAATATATAGAAATATATTTATAAGGGTATAACAAAAGTAAGTAAATCTGAGTAAATCCATTTTGTCGTTCAAAACTTAAATGAATATAATACATCTTATTTGTAATTGGAACTCTTCTTTTTTCTTAATATTTCGTTTCGAAAGTGTTGAATCATGAGACATCATCTTTCATATGATAATATTTTTATTAATGTGCTATGGCTTTTTGTCTCATGTCGTATCTTATTAGAAATACGCCCCGTTATCAGCAGATCTATTTTTGTGTTCATATGAAGCAGAATATGTTCAAAATCTTATACGTGAAAAGAAGAAAACACTTGCTGTGGCCTTCAACTCGACATTTAGATATACATGTATTGTCCTTTAACAATGGTGACTTCCATTCTTAAGTTGATATGGTATATCCCAGTGAGCTTGAAATAAAAGATACCACAGAGTCTGACACATCTGTTTCATATTTGGATATTTTACTAGAAAAAGACGTTAATGGTAATCCAACAACATAGCTATACGATAAACGTGAGGGTTTTAACTTTACAATCATCAATTTCCCTTACCTATGCAACAATATATCTTCATCACTTGCATATGGGGTTTATACCTCTCAGTTGATTCAATACGTAAGAGCATACTCTACGTATGAACATTTTCTAAAACGAGGTAAGCTATTGACAAACAAATTAATGAAACAAGAATATCAGCAGTCTTGATATAATGACCTTGTCAGTAAATACAATTTATCATCAAGTCAAATGTTGAATGACTTTTTTCATACTAGTTGTTAGGCCATTATTTACACACTGAATTGTCGAAGGTTTTTTTCCGTTATTTCCCGATCATGACAAGGAGCACACGGCGGGTGTGACCGGTCGGCAGAGGATGCTAACTCCTCCATGGCACCTGATCCCACCTGTGATGTTTAAGAGGTCCGTGTTTGCTCTGAACTTTTGAGCTTGAAAACTGTTCGTTATCTCCATACATTTCATGAACAACATTGTTCTGATTGGTTGCCTAATATATTATATATATATATATATATATATATATATATATATATATATATATATATATATATATATATATATATATATATATATATATATATATATATATATATACTAAGCAAAATAAGTTTAGCAATTAAAGATATTTAATATAACACAAAGCAAAAAAATTAGACACAGCATTTATAATGATATTGAAATGTGAAATTGTCATCACAAAACAAAAATAGCAAATTTTTTCGACAATCTTGTGCTGCTTTGTAAGAAATAGCGTGAAACTGATAATGGATACGGGTTGTAAAGTCACATTCAATTTCAATATTTTGTATGACCTCCATTTGCAGCAATAACAGCCACACAACGGCGTCTCGTGCTCCTTATAAGGTTTCGTATCTCAAGCATGGTGATCTGGTTCCACTCACGCTGCAGGGCAAGGGTAAGTTCTGCTACGTTATTGACGTTATGTCGCTGTCTTAAACGACGACCAAGAATGTCCCAAACGTGTTCAATTGGGGACAAATCTGGCGATCTCGCGGGCCAATCCAAGATCTCAACATTATTCTGATGAAGGACATCTTGTGTGTGTCGTGCGGTGTGCGGACGGGCGTTGTCTTGCTGGAAAATGCTCGCATTTCCTCGACGCAGGAAGGGAACAACAACAGGAACGACGATCTCGTCACAGTATCTCTGAGAATTCAATGTTCCATTTATTGTCACAAGTTCAGTTTTATCCTGTTGGCTTATTCCACCCCAAACCATTACACTTCCGCCACCGTAACGGTCACGTTGGATGATGTTTTCGGGGTCATATCTCTCATTTCTGCGTCTCCAAACACGAACTCTTCTATCTGCAAAATCGACGTTAAAACGTGACTCATCCGTAAACAATACTTCTTTCCATTGTCGTTGAATCCAGCGACGATGAGTGTTGGCCCATGCGAGGCGGGATTGTCGATGACGTTGAGTTAGTGGTACTGCTGTGAGAGGTCTTCTAGCTCGAAGATTTGCTGAACGTAGCCGGTTTCTTACACTTTGTCCACATAACCTCACTCCAGTTGCACGGCGTAATTCGTCTGCTACTTTAGGAGCAGCCATGAAACGGTTACGTCTCGACGTAGAAACAATGAAACGATCTTGCCTAACCGTCATTTTTCGTGGACGTCCTGAGCGCTGCCGGTCACTAACATTTCCAGTTGTCCGGAATCGGTTTAAAAGTCGACATATGGTGGACGGATGCACATGAAAGTGTTCAGCGACATCTTTTTGTGAGCAACCAGCGGTTAGCATCCCTATAGCCCTTTGACATTCATTTTCGGAAAGTCCTGGTCGTTTCCCCATTTGACGTTTTTGCAATTTCTGACGGGTTTACTTTTACACGCGAGCTCGAAAGGTTTTTCAAGAAAAAAATTCTTCCCGGACCGTGTGCGTTCGAGCATAACCTATTGTTTTGTTGAATTGTCACAACGTTGGACGACACGATTTCAGCGCGTCAAGTTTAGAAAACAAGTTTGTCTTTTGTTACCTTTATCTCTATTGATTTCAAGTAGAAACAAAACAAAACAATTAAGAAAATATTTTAAAATTATACCTTTGCTAAATTGCTAAACTTATTTTGCTCAGTATATATATATATATACGCAGCTAGTTTAAGGACGCCCATGAAATATACGCCAAGTATATATTCATGGAAAATGAATACAATTTTAATATTTTTTAACAGCATTAGTTTTGATAAATATGAATTGTGGTGTTTGCATTTGTATATATCGGGTCTCTGCTGAGTTCGGCCAAAGCGACATCTCTTACACCAGCTGTTTCTCACGTGACAGGTTTAAAATTAGAACATATATGTACTACTACAAAGATCGTAAAAGTTCAACGATATACGGGCATCTTTCCGCTATAAAATTTATTTTGTTTTCTTTGAGACAAATTCCTTAACACGAAAAGTGCTGGGAGCAACTTCCTCATGCTCGGGAATTGTTTAAAATTTAGCCGTCTTTCTATAAACTCCAGACAAAAATGTAATACGCATTGGAATAATGTAACATTACGGAATAAATAAACAATGCACAATCAGCTCCCAGCACTTTTCAGAAGAGTAGAAATAATAGCTACATGTGTTTAAAAACTCAGAATTTATAGTGAAGCTGATATCGTTGAACTTTTGATATTTTCGAGGGGCTAGACATGTCATTCTAGCACGTTACTGTACAAATCTGCTCCGTAGGGCTTTATATATAGCGTACACATTATCAATTTAGTTTGATAATGAAATGTGGATTAATATATTTCAGAATATGTCTCTCTTTTGGTCCGAACACGCGTGTTTTGTATTTATTTTTATTTTTACAAGCTACGATAAAAGTTTGATCCACGCCTCAAGTACAGAGAAACTGCGTGTCAAACTAAGAAATGACGTCACCTCAGTAAGTACAGCGAGATCAAGCTGGCTTTCATTCTACATACGCTAAGTGCTATTGTGGCAAGATAAGTTGCACATACATTTATCTTTATAACATTTATGAGAAACGTAAGTACTTAGTGTGTTTTAAAAAGAACATACAGTATTTTATCATCGAGATTCATTTGCATTGTTTAAAAGTGACGTCATAATAGCTTTCCCGAACCTCTGCACAGGCTGACGTATATATGGGAGTCCTTAACCTAACTGCGTATATATATATATATATATATATATATATATATATATATATATATATATATATATATATATATATAACCGAATCCGCACCGTTGGCGCCCGAGCTTTAGAGAATGATCCTCACTTAGCGGCATGCGATATTTAGCGGCATAAAATCGTATGCCGCTAAGTACGTGCGTGTTTTTTAAATTGCTCTATCTCTCTTAATAGGACAGGTAAGGCAATGAAACTTTCTCTGTTATAATAACTAATCTTTTGTAGATGAAATAAGTGCCAAAAAATTATTGAATACTCAGTAAATAATTTATTTTGATCGATTTTGTGAAGGTACCCTATTTTGTAGTATATATAATTTTCGTCATAATTCTCATTTTGAGGCATACTGCGTTTTTTTGGCGTTTTCTCTCTTAAGTGTGATGTATATCATTCTGAAATTTTGATCATAGCCGTATAGGAATGAAATGCATCATATGTGATTGTTTCATAGGCAAGCATTCTTGAAATCGAATGCAATAATCGTTTATGTAAAATCTTATGCTCAGTTTTGCAGTTCAGCGCATTATATATCATATAGGATACTACGCATGTCTGACCTAAAAACAGTATCAAAAGAAAATGGCGAATGGAATGTTTTGGTTTGCTTCGATTCTTAGACAAAATGAAAACGAATATGT